GCAGAGGGTTGTTCTCTTGAGAAACTATCTTTCAAAAAGACAGCTTTCCCAATGTTTCCATTCCTGCAAAGCCATTGAATTAACAAAACAGAGGCCTCCAAGGGAAGAGTGAAGTTCTTAGCAAGCATAGTCTCACATATCAAAAGAGCTTTGGAAAATTTCTTTTCTTTGCAAAAGCTGCAGACAAGAAGGTCATAAGACATACGATCCGGGTTGTAGCCACGATCTGCAAGTGTCTTGAGTAAAACATGTGCAGTGTTTGTGAACCCAAAAGCACAAAGCTGCTCAAGCAACTCATTAAAGCAACCAAAGTCGTTATGAGGGTGGTGCACTAGCATGGCCTCAAATAGCTCTAGAGCTTTGCCATGAAATCCATGTCGGCAAAGGCAATGGAGAAGAGTTTTGCCATTTTTTATGTCAGGAAACCAGTTATATTTTTGTGCAACATGCCAATAGTTGGCTAGAGCTTTTCCATCACCCTTGTTGCATAACCCAATTAAAAGAATAGTATGTGTTCGATTCTCAACATTTTGACGCCTCAGTAGCATCCCATTTACAATTATTCTGGCTCTTTGCACCAAACCTTTTTTGCCAAAAGTCTGAGCTAGAGTATTTAATGTTTCATGATCAAGCTGATGATAGTTGAACTTAGGATTTTCCTCAAACAGATGGATAACTGTCTTCAAATTCGCACAGCCTTCACAAAAACCTTTGACTAATGTTGAGAACATAGGCAAGCACAACTCTTGCCCCCAATTAACCATATTGCCCACCGTTATCACAGTTTCTTTGATGCTTTTACTCTGGATACTCTTCAATATTTGGGACTTAAAATCAGGAAGCATGGCATCATCAAGTACTTTTGTCATGGCAGCCTCGTACTTTTCGAGATCCGTGTCCAGATAAAGTCCATTTCCAAGGTTATCATAAAATTCTGCCTCAGAATATCCCAACTCACTGTCTCTCCGTATCTTCACAGCAGTGGGACAAAGTCCCAGAACTGTAAACACTTTGCTAAGTGGATCTTCTAGAGGTTTTGTTTGGATGAAACCACAGTCTGCCATCTCGAAAACTACGGCTTTTACTTCCTCAAACTGCCTAGCTTTACAAAGACCTGCTAAAAGAACCATGAAAGTTGACAGTTGGAGCCCATCTGTGGTTTCCTTCATTTCATAGAGAATCTCTTGAGAGTGCTTCCACATGCCCTGCTTGAAGAGCCCGCTCAGAAGAGCGTCATATGAATACCCCTGTGGCTTGAGACGTCTTGACAGAATCTCATTAAAATAAATGAAAGCGTCTTTGATTTTCCCCTCTCGGCAACTCCACCCAATCAAAATTCCGAGGGTTATTTCGTTGGAACAAAAACCCAATTCTTCCAGCCTCAGGCGGAAGGAGTTGGCACACTGTGAACCAAGATATGTACACAAAGAATGGATGATCTTGTTGGCTACATGAACACCGGGGATACATCTTACTTCGACAAAGAAACTAAGTATGTCATCATAATCCCTCTTCTCGCAGTACGCAGTCACCATTGCATTGAGAACTAAGTTGCTGGGCTTAATTCCAAGAGTAAGACCTTTCTTGACAAGATTTCTAGCATCCTGAACTTTACCGTCTGCACACAAAAGCCTAACAACACTCCCATAAATGTGCCCTTGTGGTACTGTCCTTCCCATACCTAGAGTTATAGCATCCGCAAAAATTTGAGGTGCCAGTTGGGTCACATTTAGTTGAATCAAGAACTTGAGAAGGAGTTCATAGCATGACAATGNCTCTGCTGGCTTGCCCGCCTAAAAATCCCCCACAAAGAATCAATCTTTTCAGCCTCAAGCCAAATATTATTGCAGACACATTGAAAACCCAGAAGAATTTCAAGAACGTCTTGAGGTTTTAACGGATGAACTCTCCAAAATCTGCGAACAGTTTCTGGGGAGATACAAGAAAGCCTAAAAATGAAATATTTGAGAGAAGAGTTGGCCAAAGTCTCACCGCTGCTGCAATCAAAGAGATAAGAACAATCTGGTATCACATCTTTTGCAATGCCTCGAAAGTTAATCGGAATTGGATGGATGTTAGTGGGTTTTATAGCTGATGGAGAAGATCGACGCGAAGGATGAACAGGAACGGAGGAGAACAGAGAATAATGTGGTAGATAAGGAGTGAATTGGGGGACAATGAAATGAACCCGTTTGATGCGCTGCTTGTTGGATTGGAGATTGTGTAGAAGAAGTTGAAGCATTCGATAGCAATGGAAAAAACTGCTACTCAACTATGGACTTTGGATTCCCCCTCCCTCTGTCTCGCATCCCTCCTCTATGTGGGAAGGAGGTATATGGTACGTACCTAATGTACATTGGGGCTAGTAATCATTCTCAAGTCATTCTTTCAAAAAAATAATTAGCGTGATACTCATTCTTAAAATAATGCAGTACTCATTTTTGTCCAATGATTCAATATAATTATATTCCGTAATATTTAGGTACAAATAATGTAGTGTTCATTTGAAATAAAATAGTACTCAATTTTAAATAATTTAATGTTCATTTTCATATAAAATAAAATCCATACCATGAATAATTTTCTAGTTGTATCCAAAATTGAATACAACCAGATATATAATATAATTTGCCCTCCTATGTGGGTGTAAGCGTCAACCTCTCCGTCAACTTTTGCTTTTATAGTGCAATATTTTTAGTTTTATTGGGCTTAGTACAAGCCCATTTTAATGCATTTCAATTTATTTTTTTATTTACTCCCAACTTATAATTTGACTTATGTGGTCAAATTATTTTTAACTTTTATTGTATACTTCCTGAGTCACAAAATATACAGAGTACTTCTCATTTCTATTTACGAGATTTGACTAACTTTATTTTTAATTTAATTTATTTGATTGTAAGTGTAAAACTAATAAATTAAATTTATATTTTTAAAAACTACATCAAAAGTTCTACAAAACGAGAGCTGATAAGGCTATATTATTTTATTAAATAATTAACGAATATAAGAAAATAAATTGATTAAAATTTGACCGTGTAGGAAAAACGTTTTTGGACGGATGGAGTATTACGAAAAATATATATTGAATTTTTCCTTGATTTTGATATCAATAGAATCATTTTAGAATATAATATGTTAAAGGTCAATGTATTACATTAATACATGTTAAAGGTCAATGTATTACAGTAATGGTCAATGTATTACATTAATGATCGTGAAAACTCAAATATAAAATTAATTTTAAGACGGAGGGAGTAATTATTTTTATTACAACTATATCAGATCAATAACGTTTTCAAATTATAGACCATATCAAATCCAATTAGACATTAAAATATTTAAAACAGTTAATGAGATTAAGAGAAGAGGATAGAGTCTAAATTCCTTAGCTTCAAGTGTTGGTGCAAATATTCACTTGATTTTTGTTTTTCTTTCCCATGATTTGCCCCTATCCTTTTGCAGCGCCGTTGGCAACCACTGTCAAAGACTCGGATGGATGGAGGCAAGAGTGAGCCGGCATCAAGGCAATGGTCTGTAGATCAGATAGGCTTTGGAAAGTGTAAGGTAAAGTTCTGGCCCGTCACTCCTTGTTTGAGAGTTTTTTTTTGTTGTGATCATTTATTTGATATTTTCCCAATCTCTTCGTCTAATTGTTGTCTTTGGTTTTTATTGAAGCGGACAACACATAGTTTAAAAATCTATGCTCTTGTTGACTGGTGCTCTGAGTTCCAACTTATCACAAAGAGGCACAAATGGTGGGTTTTGTTAGTCGCTAGCTAGTGTTTGAGGGCATTTTCTTTATGTTAATTGAATTTCTCAGTCAGTATGGCAACAGTGGTGGTGAGAATGGTGGCAATAAGGTGATAGAGCTGCTAGTGTGGCATAGAGGGTGACAATGTAACGACGGAGAGTGGCAATGTGAAGGTGAACCTGGCAATGTGGTGGCACTGCTGGTGGTAGTGTGGTAGCAAAGTTGCAATATAGCGACGACGGTAGTGGTAGTGTGGTGCAAGTAGTAGTGGCAATGTGAAGATAAAGGATGGAAATGTGACGGCTAAGAATAAATTTGTCACTTTATTGAAAACTAACTCTTATTTATGTCTAGAAAACTTAATGCTTCTATTTTAGGCATTCATAACTGATTTTACTCCTATGATCATGTCTTATCTGCAATCATTACAATGAAGAGACATTTAGAGTCTGTTTGGTAAGATCGTTGGAGTTTGGCATCAGAAATTAGAGTTAGAGGTTAGAGTTAAAGATTAGTTATTTCTAGATAGAGGTTTGGGTCTCTTTTGGATATATGTTATACTTGGTTCGAGCCAGTCGGATAAGTTTGGTTTTTGGTTAAATTCAGTTTGATTTTTTTGGTTTCAGTTTGGTTTCAGTTTAGGTTTATATCGGTTTGGGTTTATATAAATTTTAGATGATATCCTTGATATTAGAGTTCCTAATGCTAGCCTTGTGTGTAGCCTCTCATCCCTATGTGTAAAGAGAGTATATACAACTGTTAGCAATAATGAGCTAATATATTGATTAATGTGTGTTATGATGTAACAATAAATTTTATAGGCTCCCTATAAAAATAAAAACAATCTTGGTTTAAGTGATAAAATATGGAGTAAAAAGTTTGTACAATAAATTAGTTGTACCTATAACTCAAATATGTTTTTCTTAGAAAGACACCAACCAATGAGTTATTACCTTTATCTGGATTTGAGTTTAATTTGTTTTGAAGTTGATCCATATCGGGTCTAATCGGTTTTTGGATCTAATCAGTTTTGGGTCTAATCGATTCCGAGCTTAATCGGTTCGGGCCTAACTGTTTTGGGTTCAATTAGATTTGGATCTGAATCGGGTTTCAATACATTCGGTTTGGTTTTGGTTCAGTTCAAATCATTTTGGGTGTTCAGGTTTAATTTGGTTCTCCAATTTTTGGGTCATTTGGAATTCAATTCTTGGTTATTCGGTTCGGGTTATCAGGTCCAGATCAGTTTTGCCAGATCTAATTGTTTGAGAGTTTGCGGCAACCAGTTTGAACGGAATAAAATGTATTTAGCCAAACCTGAGCTTTTCGTCACTAGAGGAGCACCCTTGGTATTTTAGTCATATCTTCTTTGTATCTTAACGAAATTGCAAATCGTTTAATTCTGTGGATTTGTAAGAAACGAGGCTACAACTTTCATATAGGAAGTAGTTCGAAATAATTGACGTAAGATATCGTAAAAATGACCTGAAGTCAGACCATAGAGGTTGTCCAGAACATCAGCAACCCCGGTGAACATCGTTGAATTGGTTCCGACAGCCAACATCTTGGATGGTGCTCATCACGTATGAACGCCCAGACTTGAAAGAAGCTATAATTGGATGATCAAAGGGTTGTGCTCTTTAAGAAGATATTGTTATATAGAGTTAACGTCGTCGCTCGTATTCTGGTGAAACTCTGGTGGTTCACCTTTTTCTTCTCACTTGAACCTAGATGATGGAGTTGCTGCTGATGTTTCTGTATGCTGGGTTTTTTACGAAGAAGAAATAAGATGGAGTTGGTGTTGATGACGAAGGTGAATGATGGATAGTGATGATGGAGGAGTGATGTGGGTGGGTTATGATGAACAAAGGTGGGAGTATTATAATGAAAATGAAAATTTACCTAAATAGGACTAAAACATAATGAGTTTCTCATCATATGTTTTTATTTCCCAATGTTGGACCATTGGTGATTATCTATTAGTCACTATTCAACTAAATGTCCAACATCACTTAGACATTATTCTTCTCAATAGTCATATTTAAGGAAATGACTTATGTTTTTGTCTTATTCAGTGCAAATTTTATTAATTTTTTTTGACTAATGTGGAATGATTGTGGAGGCTAGGATCACTTTAGGATGCAGGTGGACTCTTAGGAGGCTGATTCGTCATTCAATAGGAATTTTAAGAAAGAGGAATGTTAGGGGTACACCATTTGGTGTACCCCATTTGTACACCACTCATCATAACCCTCTATTTCTTTTTTCATTTTTAAATTTTTTTTCCTCTCTTGCCTTTGTATGGTGAAGATGGAGGGGGGTACAAATGGGGTACCCCATTTGGTGTACCCCTAAAATTTTAATTTAGGAAAATGAAGTTGTTGGAATTTTTGGCATTTTTAATATGCATTAAATGGACTAACTTGAGTATATTTGTCAATAGGTCCACAAACGGTTTTAATCGTTAATTAATGGACGTGTGTTCTCTTAAATGAGATAAATATTTTGATAATTTATAGGCCAAAAATGGTAGAGGGTGAATGAAAAATTGATTCTCAGAGTTAACCCATTAATAGAAGAATACGGTAAGGATTGCAATTTTTGCAATTTTTGCAATTTTACTCAACCAATCTTCTATTATTAATTTTATGTATTGTTTAAAATTAGTCTATTTTTACGGAGCTAACTGGAAATTAATCTCCAATTATTCAGGATAAATTTTAAATGGAACGTAGCGTAACGGACGTGTTAATGACTATTTAATAATCATTAACACGTCATTAGTGTGCCACAAATGCCATGGTTTAATACTAAGAACAAATTGTGTAAGTTACACTTTTTAATTCCTTAGTTATAAAAACATATCAAGGGGCTCTCCATTTTTTGGGTATTGTTTCATACGTGAGGAAGAGAAAAAAAAGAAAGGGAAAATACTTTCTTGTTTTTTAGAGAGAGCTCTTGATTTTCTGGCTAACTTTCCGGCAATCCCCTTCAAAAGGTTTTTGGTCGCTAACGTTCCTACGTTGTTCTTGTTCATTGGTGTGTGGTTGGTCCGTACAATCTGCACACACGATAGCGGTTTTATCCTGGGAGGAGAGTGCCCACGTTTTTTTGCAAGTTTAGTTCATAAAGACCTCGCTGCATTCTGTCCTAGGACATAATGTCCTTGCAGCTTAGTGCATAACGTCTTCGTTGTCCAGTCCATAATGTCCTTGCTATCCAGTGCTTAATGTCCTCATACAACAAGGTTTTTGAAGATATAGAAATTTATTTTCAATTCTGTTTATCTTGTAATATTCTGAATAAGTTATAAATTCAGAACTTTATTAATTTTTATTTTCCGGGGCTGTTCATCTTCCCCGTCCGTTGTAATCCGTACAAAAATTGTAACATAAGTTTAGCTTTTAGTCCAAACTAATAAGTTTATCCTAAACGGTACACATTTTTTGCCCAAATAGTTACGAATTAAAAACGTATTGCGTTTTTAG